GGTAGCGTAATTGGTTGAGGCACTATGCTACAAGTCGGAAGGTTGTGGGTTCGATTCCCGATTAAGTCATTCTTTTTTAATTACAAACTGTGAAATATGCAGATGACCTTGTGTTAATGGCTAAGGAAGAAACTGTGCTACAGGGCATGATTGATAGACTAATTGAAATTGGAAGGTGCTATGGCATGGAAATGAATGTGGAGAAAACAAAAGTAATGAAAATTTCGAGACAACCAACCCCAGTCACAATAAAGATAGACCAAAAACAAGTGGAGAATGTGAAATGTTTTAAATATTTGGGTAGCTTGTTAACAGATGATGGAAGGTGTACTTGTGAAATTAAATCCAGGATTGCCATGGCAAAAGCTGCATTTAGCAAGAAGAAGAATCTTTTTACCAGCAAATTGGACTTAAATTTGAGGAAGAAACTAGTGAAATGCTACATTTGGAGCATAGCTCTGTATGGGGCTGAAACATGGACACTTAGGGCAGTAGATCAGAAACATCTGGAAAGTTTCGAAATGTGGTGTTGGAGAAGAATGGAGAAGATCAGTTGGACCGATTATGTGAGAAATGAAGAAGTGTTAATTAGAGTCAGTGAGCAGAGGAATATCCTACATGAAATAAGAAAACGGAAGGCTAATTGGATTGGTCATGTTTTACGCAGAAACTGCCTTCTAAAAGAAGCTATCGAAGGAAAGATAGATGGGCGGATAGAAGTGACAAGAAGACGAGGAAGAAGACGTAAGAAGATGCTGGATGACCTTGGGGACAGAAGAGGATACTGTCATTTGAAGGAGAAAGCTCTAGATCGCATTAAGTGGAGGAATTGTTTTGAAAGAGACTGTGGACCTGTCGTCTTGACAGATTACTGATGATGATGATGATGATGATGATGATGAATCCTTCCAGCCTCACTTTGTTCCTGGAGTCGACTCAGCCTCTAAGAGAAATGAGTGCCAGGAATCTTCCTGGGGTAAAGGGCGGCCGGCGCGTAAGGCTGACAATCTCGCCGCCATCTGTGAGCCGATTGTCTAGAAAATGTGGGAGCCTCGACGTCTCACAACTCTATGGACCTCCACGGCCTGTTACAGGGTTAGCTTTACCTTTTTCACCCTCGAGAAAAAAGAGGTGACCATAATTTTAGAATTTTCCTACTGATTTAAAGAAACCTTATGATTTCTGATGTCTTCACGGAGGTGGAGATTGTGGCCTTGCTGTCTCTGACACCTCGTAGTCTTGTAGAGAGATAGCAGCTTTATGGAGGGACATGCAGCTTCATCCTCGCGATCGGAGTACGATAATAACACGCTTAAGTAATACAATTCTAACGACGTGGCCAGTAAGTCAGAGTATGTGGAATTCACCGGATGGATGGTGGTAAATAATGAATCGAAAAGAATATGGAAGAAAGCAGTGACTGCGTGACTGGAGGCACTGAATGAAATCACGAGAACCTAGTCCGGGAATGTAAGAAGCATTACGGCTTGAAATAATATGCTCCGTGGCAGGCTGCAATCTGCATTGCACACTACTCATTTTTGTCTTGAAGACTGAGGCAGGGCTTTCCCTCGAAAGTTAGCTAATTTATATTTCGGATAACATACATACGGTTAGTTAACTGCTGAGAAACTGTGTGTGTGTGTGTGGGGGGGGGGGAGGATTCTTCTACTGTTTATCTCAAATGACCAGCGCTTCGAAGAAAGGAAATAACTAAGACGGGCTGCAGCCACATCCTTACAAATCCTTCTCATATAATTCGTGATCGTCCTACATTTCGATTATGCCCATCCTTTACACATCACAGCTAAACAAAAAAGACAGAGATCGGTAAGTGTTGACATTTTCAGCGAAAATCGACAGTGGATCGAAGCGAGTGCTAAGTTTAACCCTATGGCCGCTTCATCCCCATGCTTACAGACTCGGGCATCCGTTGGATAGAAGGTCGAGTGGGTTCCAGAGCCATTCTACGTTCCAATTTCGTAGGTATCCGGCTCGAAACTCGGTTGGGTTACCAGGTATCCCGAACGGGCTTTATTTATTTCTATCAGTCTCTGTTGTGAGCGTCGGAACAGTGCCTAACTTAAAATAGGCCTCGACCACCTCCTCACATTTCATAATTAGTCTATATTCCATTCTCTTCGATGTTGTTTCACTACTGCGAGATGAAACATTGTTATAAAATAACATAAGAATAAATCGCATTCCATTAAAATGTCAAATGTAATCTGACTAAACATATAGCATTATTCCTCAGTTACTACATGTAAATAGCACCCTGTTACTCCATTCTCAACAGTTCTCACATAGTCTATTCTCAACGGTAAATAAATTGATCACTTGACATGATTTCGGTCAATAAGCTAAGACACAGCTCCTATGAAGCGTCACACACATTTGTGCACAGAACCTGGTCACAACAGAGACGTGAGCACTTGTCTTCATAAGGAATGCCTTATGTGAACTGTTCTACAAGAATCATATTCCCGCTTATAAATTGCAGCAGAAGTTTTAACGTAGGCACAGTGAATATACCCACATGCGGTAACAACGGACAGACATACGTACGAGCAACGGCGGTGGGGGAGGGGTGCAATTAAGCTCTGTCCATCTTTTTGGAAATTTGAAAAAATCGAAATTAAAAAATATACCAAAAATCAACAAATTAAAAAAACATTCTTCTCTCATGAATACAAAAGCTTTTAATAACTTCCTCGACAATATCAATCTAAACGTAAGTTAGTAAGCAAACTTTCTGACTCCCCCTTCCTCTACAACTTGTAAAAATTCCTATCAGCACCATGCGCAAAGCCTATATAGGCAATATTCAAAGAATGGTACCTACGGTTCATTTCTACGTTTGGTGCTATTACAAAACAAGAGATTTAAGAGACGAAGTGCGCACTGAATACTGTATCATACAAAAATGTACAGTATCTGTCAATGTAACTCTAATATTAACGCGTGTTTGCAATGCGGCCAGTTTTCAACCATTTCATTGTTACTTTTCAATTAGAGAGAAATAAATCTTCCTCCAGTTAGTAATATTTAAAAAATAACGCATGATTTGCATGATTAAACTGTCACAGAAACTTAACTTAAAGATGGCAGATCACTGGTCTTAATTATCGAATAAATCCAGAAGACTTTTAAACGATATATTTCATGTGTAATATGTAAAGTGTTAATAAAATAAACCTGTAAGCTACATTCGAATTGCAGCTTAGCAATGCAAGAATAGAACTGCTCACCGTCACATGAAGAGGCAATTGTACGCTGAAAGAATGAAGAACGCACTACGCACGTCACAAAGAAGACAACCAAGCAGCAGCAGCAGCGAAAGCGGTGTCAAGCCTCCTCTCTCGCTGGCATCGAAGTGTCTCCCCTCGCTTACGCTTGGGGAAAGGTAGCCAGCGAAGAACAATGCAACAGACTTAGATCAGGCGACACATCCTGCAGAAGCATTCTGACCGATACCATATTGCTGCTATCATATCTTCTGTATCAGTTGTTGCCAATTGTCGTGGCAGATAGCGACCCAAGCTTGCGCAAATCAACGCAGGTATTTCTGAAAGATAGCAGCCGCGTTATATTACAATAAAATTGATGTCATCTCAGTTTAAATTAGTTATAGGCAACCTGGGACCCGTGGGCAGCATATGGTCCCCTGCACATCCCAGGCCATCCAAGAAAATAAGAACTGTGGAATTGATGACATCACATATGAATGCCTCAGGCACCTTCGAAGGCGACCATTGGTTCACCTAACTCATTTATTCAATCAATGTATTCAGCTTTCTCATTTTCCAAATACTTGGAATGAAGCAAAAGTAATAACTTTACCTAAACCCGGTAAAGACCCGAAATTCCCGCAAAATTTACGTCCGATCAGCCTCCTGTCCACGACAGGAAAACTATTCGAAAATTTAATTGTGAAAATACTACAAAAATATATTGAAGAAAGAGACCTGCTCAACGCAAGCCTCTTTGGTTTTCGTGCACGTCACAGCACGACATTGCAATGTACGAGTAAATGAAGCCTTCTAATCGCACGTTAAGCCTTCACAGGCCGACTTCTAATTCTTCTTCAACTACGAACTTCCCGTGGCTATCTCCTACCGAGAACTGAATGACTCGTGGTCAAAGTCAAAGTCACACTGCGACTGACGGTCAGTCAGTCTGTCTTGGTGTCGAACCCCGGCTGGGGCTCATGACCAGATGTTACTTTTTAAATGAAATTTACTGTCCTGTCCATGTAGGGCGCCCTCTCTGACGAGAGGTCGGATCTGTCATTTTTCAGTCATTAATGAATAAATGTATAAGGGGTGGGCCTTCTCGGCCCTTGCACAGCGACATAAAGTGGTCTATAGTCCATAGTATTAGTCCTTTGTCACTATGTACACATATTTACAATTGAGTCTTAATATCTAGTATGTACAAATAATATATGCAAGGCCTCTGTCAGTCTAGGCTCAGTACAGCGGACTATGCCCTATTTNAGACAAGACTCAGGCGGTCGACGACTACGAGAGAAGCAGACCCCCTGAGTCTTATCTTCATTAATTTTTATATTCCAGCGCTCACACCAGGTCTCCACTGAGCTGAGACCGCGCTGGAGTTTTCTAACAATAAAACCTTCCTTGCGATCGGTCGCATACAGAGAGGTGACGTCCGCAAAGAGGGCCAGGTGAACACCATGTGTTTGGGGGGCATAATTTATGTACAAATTGAAAAGAGTAGGGGAAAGGACCGAACCTTGTGGCACTCTGCTTGCATTTCCCTTGGCGTTGACATTTCGCCTTCAACCGAAATCCTGAATTTACGATGAGAAGGAAAGGACCCAGTAAGCTTTGTCATACTGTTCGAGGATTGCAATTTAGATAACTTATACAGCAAACCTGAGTGCCACGTGGTATCAAAGGCTTTTTCAATGTCCAAGAACACCGCAGCCGTAGACATTTTGTTTTTGAAATTAAGGTTGACGTGGTCCGCCAGCCTCAGTATGTTTACCCTGACAGCTACTCAGATTAAATGACGTCCAATGGCTGAATGATAGTTAATAATGAGCTGGAAGAATGAGGAAGGAAACGGCCAAGGCTTAATATTATGGAGTTATCCGAAAGTTTCCTTGGTGGAACAGAGGAAAACCGCAAAGAACCTCACTCAAGCGGATCTGTGTCCTGGTCGAGAATCAAACCGAGCAACTACCCGAATACGAGTATAAGCCGGAGGAGTTGCCGTGTGAACCCAACCAATCGCTCCTGGCCTGAAGGCAGACACTCGAGTGACAAGATTATCTTGCAAGAATAAGGCATGTCAGAAGCAAATTAATACCGCGAGGCATGATGGATATTTGGGTGTCAGTACTTGCAAACTTGCTGTCAGATGTGATCAGTCTTTATCTCAGGGGTTTCACGATTATAAAAAGTTGTTTTGCAGTCACAAAACACTATGCTCGCAAAATTAACATCACAATCCATTTTCACAGGAGTGGGAATGCATCAGTCGGTATTGAGACGGGCTATGGGCTGGAACATTCGGGTTCGATTTCAGGCAGTGTCCACAGCGTCCAGACAGTCTCCGGGGCCCACTCAGCCTCCTATCCAACGGATACCGGGGTCGATTTCCCTGGGGGTAAACCGGCCAGGGCGTGAAGTTGACCGCTCACTTCCACGTAGTGCTGAGGCCAATAAAGGTGGAGCTATACCTCCACTCCCTCATATTCCTTCATGACATTCTGCTTAACTAATTAAGCACAGTACAACTTTTATCCATTTTCATTCCGTAATTAAACACCGAAAAATGTTATGCATACGAAGAGGGTTGTTGCTTTTAAGGATCAGTTTATCACCCTCCGTTAATTTTGGACATACGATACATCCTTATTGTCAAGAAGCTTATGCAAGTTAAAGCCACCTCACAATTGTAATTTTAAACCATTTTTATCACTAGAATTATAAGTAGACTATCGCTTCTTTTTCGTCCACTTACCGCCAATCTTGTCGCCCAGGTAGGAGCCAACATCTGAGAGTCCGAGTTACTTTACGACAGGCGGTCGTTTACACAGCTGTCACTTAGCAATGGGTCTACATGTCACAACACCTATAAAAGCACGTGCGGACGGAGACAACTTGCTACGTGCTCTGCGAACGCATCTAAAAATTCAGAACTGAAAGGTGCCGCTGTGTTTGTAATTGAAAGAGCAAGTGAACATCATGCAGAATCAGTACTGCCATCATAACCAATGTAAAATAAAAGAAGTATAATTTCCGCACACGACATTGGTAAAAACTATGCTTCATAACAGCATTCAAAGTGTGAAATAAACACCAAACGGAATCAGTATTGACCTCATCGTTGATAAGTGCCCATGTGTTAGTTTCTTCGCTTCAATATTTATACCTCTGTCTGGATGTGTATCATGCTCTTACATATAAGTGTATCGCCAGGGAATTGTTTGCAACATATCCACTAATTAAAGCACAGTATGCCTGAAAGGAAACAGTCACAGTAACAATATTAGACAACTTGATATAGCATCATTCTGAGCCAGCTGATTTCAGTCCACAACATTATACCACATTTATATAAAATCTATTTTAATATTTTACAGCCAAATTGTTTTATACACTTCCTATTACACGCATGTGTTTAACATGTCGATAATAAACTTCTCTAGTACATAATACTGTTGAAATAGAAAATACATGATTGTACAAAAACCAATAGCTTTTCTTCATTCTTAATTTAATCGCCCAAACAATTCTAGGAGCAATATGCATGTGTCAGTTTTCTCCAGTCTTACTTCACCTGCTTAGGTTCCAGCATCTTTGTTATTCAGAACCTAGAATAGCAACTGTTGATAATTATATGGGAAGGCTCATAATTTTGTATGTATGCTTTTGTACTGTGAACTTCCTCTGCTTTCTCCTGTACTCCTCTCCAATCCTACATGCTATCAAATGACATAATGAGGACGACATTTGAAGCCATATCCCATCAATAACACGTATAAACAGTTAATTACTACTGTATCATCTTTGTACAGTATAGTACACTTCACATACTCCTACTTACATAAAATATGGTCAATATTCATAGAACAGTTACAATACAAAGAACAAAATATTGCTCATTTGTTTGTGACCTGTTGCATAACCTGCTCGCATGAAGTGTGTTAACGTTCATGAGTTCACTGTTATGATAACCCAACGTTGCATAATGACAATGACAAATTTCATGATTATAAAAGGCTCATGTAATTGCCAGATATATTGATTCACAAAAACTTATTTCTCAGCATAATTCTTAATATCCTGCAAGAACAAATCACACTGAGTAATTGTGGGAGAACAAGGTGACCAAAAACACTACTTAAAACCCTTTAACTGAACATTTTGTTCAGGGTTCAATCAGTGAGAAGAGGAGAGGGCAGCAGTGCTCATGAATACCTAATATTTATCTGTTAATATTTTGAGATTTTATTCTTTCAAAACTAAAGTACTTTCTCAATACTACACATCAATACATAAAAAACTAATAGCTCTTTAAAGCAGAATAAAGGAGCCAAATATATATATGCCCATAGGAAGCCTGTCCTTCCTTCCTGTTAACTGTAGTAACAGAACCGAGAACCAAGCTGATTTTCTTTCGGATTATTGCTGTTTCTTCTTGTTCGTATCTTTCAATCTTTCTTTACACTCAGCAAACAGCTGCACTGTTTCCAGGGCTTATATTCTCAGAGCCTTTAACATGCTTAAAGTGTGACTAGCTCAGCAGATTTCTATGACGTGACATCATGTAGTCTGGCAGGTCGTTATTAATATTTTGCAGGAAACTGCTGTTTCCATCAACAGGGTAGAAGGGTGAACACAGCACAGAAACCAATGATGCGAATGTAAGATGTTGAAGCTCAGGCTTCTGGGCCCTGAGAAAATCAAGAGGAAGAAAGAGAAGAATTTAAAAATACATGGTGCTTACAAGCATCATTTTATACGGTAAAGTGACTGGAGAAAATAATGACACAATGTCCGAACAGAAGGTAGACAGAAATCAGAAGAAACAGAGTAAGGAAACAGTAGTCTTCTAAAGGGTCATTTTCAAGGGTAGATTGAATGATAGAAAGCACAGAACACCAGAGAGTGATTGAGACAGCAGAATAGGGATAAAAATGAAGAGACAGAGGAGAGAGGACAGATTAACCTTTAAACGCCGGGCTTTTGAAACGGTGGTAAGCTTGAGCTGACCGGAGTTTATTTAAATGCCCACTGCTGGTGCGTGTTTAAATACACGTTGCTACTCCGTATTTAAATGTCTGTTCCTGTTAGGGCACTTAAACAATTTTAAGCATTGTGTTTAAAAATGCTGTCTAACAATTTCTATGATAAATGGATGAATTAATTTTGTTTGTATCAGCAAAGAACATAGTGTCGCATATTACAATGGAAGATTTGAAAAATTTTATACAAAATGTTATACTCTTTTAATTTTTTTTCCCTTTTAATTTTAATGCGTACTGCAAAATTGGTTTCCGAGTGCTTCACAAAGTTATTCTGCATTATAAATTCGTTTCTGTTTGTAACACTTGACAAATTTTAGCAGTCCCTGGTGCCATGAAACATATGGAAGCAATAAAATCATTTGATTGTCTGCTGGAAAACCTTACATCTTTGTTACACTCTTCAGATTTTCGAATTTTTTGACTAAATGACAGACGAATGAAAGTATGGCTATTCAATAAATAGCTAGAGGAGTGCCCTTCTTCAGTGCTAAGACCTTCCGTTATAGCAGCAAAAGACTACTGCCCTTTCTACGGGCATGAACAGACAGCTGCATCGTGGCTGAGATACAGAGTGCGATCTGTTTTCTGTGCATTCATAGTGAAATCGAATATTGTAGTTTCATATCAGCCTATATATACATGAAGCAGATAACAAAAAAGGTATATACATCGAATTTTACTATATATTTTTAAAACATTAATCTACAGAATCTGCAATAAAAGTACTGGCTCATGGATGAGTTTGGGCATAACTCATACGTATACTCTTTTTTGTTGTTGTTCACTTAGGTGTAATTTTAATTCCTCTATTAGAGTTTTACTCAAGTTGATCTGGTAATTACTACATTTAAAAATAAATATTTAGGACTGTGCATGTACTTCTACCAGCGGCATGTGTNAAGTTGATCTGGTAATTACTACATTTAAAAATAAATATTTAGGACTACCAGCGGCATGTGCGCGCCCTTCCACGAGCAGAGTTTAAATGCCCAACTGGCCAAAATGGCCATGATGACCTTACTCATCACTGGCCTGAATGGGGCACTTCGGATGTTAAAGGTTAAATAACTGGGACATAAGAAGAATGAAAAGGAAGGAGACCCTAACAATGGCCATATACACTGGGTCTAATTGCCTGGTTGGAGAACTCCAACACAAGAAATCCTACAAAAGAGGCATCTGACATTCAGACAGCAGATCCAATTGTACATAATGTAACAGTTATGGATGTTAAATCAATCAATCAATCAATCAATCAATCAATCAATGAAAGGTTTCTGTGACTTGCTTCAGCAGAAGACATCCCCATAGTTTATGCTACTGGGACTGAGCTCAATCTCAATCACGTCCCTAATGATATAGTACATGTTTCTCAACATGGCAGAGAGAACACTGGTATTCTGCAGCTGGATATAATGTCCATAGTTTATGTCTGGGCGATTGTGATGATTATGGCAATGGTTCTCCTTGACAATGGTGTCAAATGAATGGCCCATCTGTCCAATGTAGACCTGACCACATTCAGAGGAAGCTGTGTACTCCTGTGTGTTCAATCCTAGGTCTTCCTTCAAGAGGACACAAACAGTCTTCATAATGTGTCAGGACAGCACACTGTTAATGTGATACACAGTCAACCCAACAAAGGGCAGAGACAACAGAACAGCTCTCTGAGAAAGACCCCAGCTGGATGAAGAAATTCTCTCAGGAAGATGAATCTGTGTCACTTGTTGAGAATCCAAATTGAGAGAGTAGTCTGAAAGTGGGTTTGAAGCTACTTTATAAAGCATTGCTTCCCAGAAGGCAGCAACATCATAGCTGTCACCATGAGAAAGCTGAATCTCAAGCAAGCATTTCTTTCATTACCTGGAAAATGTTTCCCATGATTTGGTTATATTTCACTTTATTCTACTGCATGTCCTTGTCACAGTGTGTTCACCTAAAAGAGAGAATCAAGGTTCTACTGATGTGGCACAATAATATGACACTTTTCCTGCCAGTAAATGAACAACATGGGTTCTTCCAGGTCTGCCACACTACGATCTGGCTATACTCAGAAGCTGGTTTCATGAAGCATTCCAGTCAGAAAGAGATGGCACAACAGTGCAAGATATTTTATTTTCAACATTTTATGCTCTTTTGTGCTCTCTATGTTGGGCAAAGGGATTCTGCTTGCTGCATAGCCTTTAAAGCACCATTCTTGGTAGAATAGGGATGAGTGAAAAGTTACAAATGTAAACTTAGTTTACACAGATGACATGTATTTTCATAAAAATCGATATTACATATTAGGAGTTGTGACTGCATACCTTGACATACTGCAGATGTTTTTCAAATGTGATAAACAAAAATGTAAATTCCACCTAAATACCAGTTAGTTTTATGAGCTGCACAATTATGTCACAAAACATGTTAGGAAATGGTCATTTAACAGAAAATGCAGAGCATGTAAGACATAACCTACCAGTGATACTAAGAATGTATCCAAACATGCCTCCTCATTTATAAGATTACAAATATATGCCTCAAACATAAATACAGTTGTTACACTGCACCTAAATACTTTTAAAGTTGTAACTTACCAAGCTTCCACTCCCAGTATGTGAAATAAAACATCTCCATTTTCATGAATATTAATTACACTGCAAAGGTTTACTGGGACACCTGTCAGTAAATTGACTTTGAACAACCAGGATTCATTTCCTAATTCTTGCAAAATATTTATCTCTTCACCACCAAGCAGAGGAAATTAATCGATTCTTTTGTTTTTTTCAAATCACGAACAGTTTGTTCTCCAATACCGTATTGCATTGCTAATTGTTTAACTACACCTCTTTTTCCAATCTGATTGATAATTTCAAGTTTCTGTTGAATACTTAAAACAACACGCTTCCTTTTACACCATGACATTTTGCTAACGCACTTGAAGATCGATACAAAGAGACTAACTGGGGCGGTGTATCTGTCCTTGAAACTTTCCACAAATCCTTGCATTCTTTCACCCCTACCCTAGAACATTGTGTTAGCATAATGGGACCAGAAAATGCAGAGCTCAGTTCACACTAGTGCGAAAATAGTGTTACAACTCACCATGTGAAACAAAAATGAACGAATGTTAAAAAACATATAAGCCTCAAAAAAGCCCCGGTAGCCCCAGTTAAGCCACAAACCGGTTTATCCACCCCTGGATAATTGAGAGTTGAGTGTATACTGAAAATGATACGAATAAACTTTCGAACGAAGGCGCAGTGTATCTCGGTAACTGATGATGGCACTCTCATTCCCATAGTAAATAAAGTACATTAATTATTTGTCTATGGCTCATTTAATGATGCTGTCACTATCTCAGGCTACACACCATCAAGTATTAGTGAACAGTGAACAATGAATTGTAAAGGATATGGAAGGAAATGGTTGCTGAGGTAGTATCCTGACATCTGTCTGGAAATATTGAGGACAGTCAGCATTCAAGCTGATATTCAAACCAGGAACCTCCCAAATACAAGTCAGGAACATAATTTTTTCAATTCCATTTTGGAAATCACAGACATGTGTGATGAAATCAAAAGCAGAATATCAGACAAGATCTGAAGGCTGAAACACTGCAAGAAGTAACTGTGAACCGAATGATACAGCAGTATGGACATATGTTACATATACACCACAGGATTGCTTTGGGTGTGTCATACAGATGACCACTGGGAATACTAAGGAGAAGTGGTGAAAGCCAATGGGGGGGTGGAAGGTTTATAGACAAGAGAGTACCAGCATTGAAAAAATGCATACATATGCATGAGAACCGACGAGTATTACAGGAGAGAAAGAAAACCAGAGGAGGCTTTGTAATAAAAACATGGCTACAGAATTACAATGACATAACGTAGCCCCTTTGTCTCTGCAGTAATATCATGTTTCCAGTCCCAATGGATAAAATACAACAAACACCCTTTTTGATCTTTCTTTGAGGGAATGAGTATAATCTTTTAAAAGGCGATGTTTTAAATTTTTCATTATTAAGTAAGGGTCAATGAAATTGAATTTTAAATGAAGGAGAACTTAAATTGAGGAATATGAAAAAGGGTTTTCTGCTCTATGTGAATATTTAGAAGCCATGTTTGTTCTTCATAGAGTTAAAACATTTTGGTACCCTGCATACATACTCTACCATTTTATCATACCAAATATTTTCTTGCAAATAATGTTATGAGTCCTTTCATGTAAGCAACACCTCAGATCTGTCAGTCAGGTACATTGGCATGTTTCCTTATGAACTACATATTCTGTGTACAGTAAAGTTATGTGTATCACATTAATTGCTGTCATTTTTCCCTTCCACTCTTTTGTAATTTACAACCCTTTGTGAATCCTGTCCATTTTTTGTAAAAGGGGCCCCTTCTTGTGATGCCCGCAACATGGACGAGAAAATACCCATAGAGCGTTGCAGCAGCTGGGCAGGAGTTCCATCTTCCATGATTCTCCCAGACTCCAACACCAGAATGCGATCATAATCCAGTATTGTGGACAGACGATGCTAGAACACAGGGTTTTATGGAACTTTACACATACATCCAATATATGTAACAAACAATGAAACTGATCAGAAGTTTAATTACACCACAATTATGATAACTGTTTGAGGCATATTTAATATACACGATGTTTTGGGTGTTGGTTGTTTCTGCATTGTGCTTATGCGAAGAACACCTTTTCTCCATCTGTTTGTAAAGGTACCTCTTAGCCCATGTGTCTTCCCCACTCCTCCTCCCTTCATGAAGGCCAGATGGCTACAGAGCATCACTGCCCATACAGAGTGTCGCAGAAGAAAAGGTCACTATTCTAGGAGACCATGGTATTGGTCATTCTAAGCAAAACACTGTATATGTACATGTGTTCTATTTTGAACGGTTTCCGAGATAGAGCTATTTCACTGCACAGTTTCAAAACTGTTGCTAAAGAGATATTACATACCACTTCTAATACCGGTATTTATTGTTCAAGTGACAAAGTTGGTATAGTTTACATAGTATAATATATTTTGAAAATCCTACTGTCACCATCAATGCACTTTGCAACCCATGTGAGGACAACATACAGCATGTCAGTATATTCAGCATTTGCGAAGATGTGTGGCATTTTTCACAACACTCCTACAAAGTCACCAACAGTCACAATGGTCAACTGACCCTTCACACCAATTCACATGCAGGACAGAAGGCCAATATTGGGCGCCAAATCCAAACTACTCTACAGTGAAATAGCTCTATCTTTGAAACTGTTTGAAATAGGATGCATGTACATATACACTTTCTTGCTTAGAGTAGGGTTCCCATTTGTCCATCTTTCCTGAGACAGTCCCGTTTTTTTCATATAATGTCCCGCTCTTCTGGATTTATTTCAAATGCTCCACTTTTTAAGTGCTCTTCTGTAACATTAATTTGTATCAATAACTGCTCAGTAATGGATGCTATTCTCTGCAATTTGCATTTCTGTAATGACATTAACACTCCTGGTGCCTAATCCACAATTTCACAAATTATTACTTTTTCTGTTGGAAATATGTCCCTTTCTTACATTTATGTTGGTAGTATTTTGATTTGCTTCCATAACAGAAGTTCCATTTGTATCATTCTCTGCATTCTTTGTCTTTGTCAACCATTACGTTTTGTTGTGAGAGCCGGTGAGAATTTATCTGTTTTCATCCACACAGTGATGCCAAAACGCAAGTGGAGTAATAATGACAGTATCAAGAGCAAATGTCTGCTTAGTTAAGGTGGGACTGAGACTGTTGAATGCAGGTTATGCAACACAAGATTTTGCATTGCACATGGTGATCGGTCGGACTATAATTACTTGTAGTTATGAATCAAGTGTATAAGGTGTCAAGAAATCCAATCATTGAATCTATGCTCTGTCTATAAGTGACAACCCCTAATTTGTGACAATATTTATTCATTTGCATAAAAGATGCATTCCTAGAAACGGCATGTGTATCAAAATAAATAGGTTATGAAAGTAAATTCTCAACTGAATTTGTTGCTCAGAATAATGTTAGACTGGACAGAAATGAAATATATCCCCTTAATTAAATGTTTTACACAAATCAGAATGATATAAACACATATTGCTGGATCATATAGCAAATTATTTAATAATTTCTGCTTTTTACAGATGGCAGAAATTAATATAGGAAAGCTTCACAAGTTATTTCTGGACCTTCTGGCATATATTCTATCCATGTATGCTTTGCATAGTGAAGCCTATCTGATACATCCTGCTATGCATGTCCATACTCACTGCAATTGTAATGACCGTCTTCCCAGCAAATGCCCTTGTAGCAGCTGCCAGTAATGCCTTTTCAGTACTGGGATCCACGGAACTAGTGGCTTCATCCATCACCAGGCATGCAGCATTGTGAAGGATGGCCCGAGCAAGGCAGAATAACTGTCGCTCACCTGCACTAAGATTGCCCCCACCTTCTCGTACTTCTGCATCTGAAACAACCCCACAAATTGGAGATATTGCCTGTGAAGTGTGATAAATCACTAATCCATTCACATAAGATCACTATATAATTAGGTTCATCTATAATAGACTTGAATATTACTTTATATTGTGAATGTTTAGTGCTAATTTGTGCCACAAATTCAGCATTAGATGAATATAAGGAAAAGCTTAATTAGTACTAGCAATAAACGATCATCAAAACAATAAAATTAAAAAAATTAAAAATCTCAAGATGGAGGAGGAGGATTTGCAAAATCTTTCCAATCCACTTAGTACCATACCTAAACATCCGGGAAGAGAGCTAACAGCATCTTTCAGTTGAGCCAGTTCCAAACTCTTCCAAAGTTCCATGTCTGTATACACAGACTGAGGATCCAAATTCTCTCTGTAAAATGTAAAACATTTGTAAAACATTTTACAATAACTGGGTTCTAAATGGCTCTCTGAAGAAGGAGAAAAAACGGTTGTACAATATTCTTACGTGACTTTCATTTTGGGAAAATTCTGGCACTTTCTTTTCTGTCTTAGTTGTAAGTCTGTATATATATTATCAAAATCTGTATTGTATATATTCTTGTTATCTTCCAATGACAAATCTTGATCTCAGGTGTTTATACATTAGAGAAGGTGTCTCCCATCCCTTCACCTGAGGATGGAAACAGATCCAGTTTCCAAAATGTTGTGTTCTTAGTGTGTGTTTTTCTTCTTAGAATGCCAGATGATTGATAACATCCAAAAACCATGTAATTCTGAATGCTCTGGGGACTCAGTCATGCAATATAACATCAGGCATTGAGAAAATACCACATTATTTAGGTGCCGATTAGATGAGCTTGGTGTACATGTGTTAAAACTACCATAATCGAAGAAATGGTCTCTTTGTTAACCAGTCATTACATCATTTCTGTCAACAGATGGAATGTACTGTGACCACTGGCTTTAATATGTTCAATACCTGTGGTCATACAAAGGTCATCTCAAGAAGTATTATGACTTTTTTGTGAATTGCATCTATCTTAAAGCAGCCTTAGTGTTCATTCCAGTAGCTCTGTGATTGGCATTTGTAGTCAAAGGGCTGAAGTCTATGTTCTTATGGAGTTTCTTTATGGGCAAATATTCACATCAGCCCACTCTGAACCCATCAAATCAAGCAAGGTGGCTCAAATGGTAACACTTCTGACTTGCATTTGGGAGGCTGGGAGACAAATTAGTATAAGACTGTTGGTGGGTTTACTCAGTCTTTCCAGGCACATGCCTGACAGTACATCAATTCAACCATTACAACTTCCTTCCTCACCCTTCCCAGTTCTTTACTCACAACTCATCTTCCCACTCACTGCTACATATTCTGAAGTACCAAGAGTGACACTATATAAAGCATTAAAAAACCATATGTTAATCAACACATTATTTCTTTGTATTAGTAGATTATAAGGATGATTTCAGAAATTTAGTTCAGCTTCAGCCGAATATGTTGGTGTGATCTGGTAGGTTTGCAGATGCATGCAGCCATGGATTCATGTGAAGAGTACCTGATGGTCCCACTGAACATGATGACATCCTGTGGGATAACAGACAGGCGAGACCTAAGGACCTGCAGTGGGACCAGCTTGGTGTCGATATCATCAATAAGAATCTTCCCTTCAAATACGTCCACCATATGAAACAGCGACATCACAAGTGAAGACTTCCCACTGCCGGTTCGTCCACAGATCCCAACCTATTGGTAAAGGAAAAATCTTAGCTTTATATTGTCTGAATAACTTAGATAAAATCAATCAATCAATCAGTCAATCACTTTATTTGTTCTGAGAATCCATATTTGGAGATACAACCTCCAGATATAGAACAAGTCAATTACTACATATTAATATAACATACATATCATACATGAGTCAGCAATACTATGAAATTTAATTACATACAGATTTCATACAATACATCGTCCCACTTTCAACAATTCAATACCAAAAGAAACCCAACTTCCAACATTTTCTTTTATAGATTAAGTGAGGACAAGATATCTGTCATAACATAAAACCAATGTTTTATGATACTACAATTCTTACACTTGAAGATATTTAAATCTTGTATGTGTTCACTATCATGATCAGACTAGCTCTGGGGCTGAACCAGTGGATTCTGCAGCATGGAATTGATGACTCACCTTCATTTAGTACCAAGGTCAACATGGTTATGCAGCTGCTGTTGCATACCTGCATATGTCGCCATGCTGCAATGCTTATGCTCAGGCACAATTTTTTTATTACTTTTATCTCCACCCCTTACTTTCACTTCAGTCAGAAACATAATGCTTCACTCTTTACTGTTTACATACAATCAAGTAACATTTGCACAGGTTGAGGGAATATAAAATATATGATGAAATTAATAGAGAAACACGTAAAATGGAGTCTTTCCATTGACCTAAATAAGGCGGAGTTCTATGTATGGAGGGAGATGGAGATTTAGACAGAGTACAAGGATTCATTTCCTTATCACAGTAGCCATGCCGGCAAAGGCACGAACTCTCTTCGCCCACTTGAACACAAGGAGCGTGGATTCAAATACCACTTGAGGCATGGATGTTTGTGTGCGTTTATTCTGTGTTTCTGTTGTTCTTTGTGTAGGTAGCGGCCTTGCAATGGGCTGATCTACCTTCCAAGGAGTCCTACTGACTATGTATATAATAAAAAATTAAAAAGCAATCAAAGTCCACAAGGGCTATAGAGCCATAGATAGATAAAAGGATTCATTAAGAGAAATGTTATTCTTTTAAATACTTTCCATAGGATTAACAATAATCAATATTGGAACATGTGACAGGGATACTAGAAACAAAATGTTTTGGAAAACTTGCAACGAAACCATCTTAGAGGATCTTATGAAATTAAAGTATATCCAAAGAAATTAAAAAAAAATATATATATGTATTTCATAGCACAACTCAAAGTATTCTCTTACATGGAGGTGAAATTAAGCCACAGACTGAAAATATGAGGAATAAAATAAGGACGGTTTAATTTGGCCAGAGAAACTAGAGTGAGAAATGAAACATTATGGGAAGAAAGAAACGTTACTTCATCAGTGATACAAGACCTAGAATATATGGCGCTGAAATTATTCAGTCATACTGAACAAATGAAAGATGAAAAGGGGAAAACAGGGAGACGTGAACTACACATACGTGTCAAATACATTATAGGAGACAGAGATAGAGGGACCTGATTATTGCAAAAACTGAACATGGCAACCACATGATGGGATAATGAGAAGAAAAGGGAAAAGAATAAGGATGAGGACGAGGAAGGAGGAGACCTTCATCCCTATATGTATGTATGTTCCTACATCCTGGATTTCATACTGCAAATTCTGCCTTTAATTAGCACAAACATCTGCATGCTATATATATACAACAGCATTCTTCCTGCATACAGAGACTGTAATATTAATCACACATCGTGGATGAGATTCCAAATATACAAATCATGCATCTTGATTCTGTTTAGCACCAATAAGAAATCTGTGGGCCTCATAAAAGCTGTAAGCAGCATACTGCAATGAAGTAAAACATTATTTACCTTCTGTCCAGCTGGTATATGCAGATTTAGATTAGAGATTACTGGTTCTCGACTTCTATCGTAACGCAAGGATACATCCTTGAAGACAATGTTGCCCTTCTGAGGCCAGGCTCTCGGTACTGTGATCCCTGCGAACAAATGTAACACTATAAGCGTAGAAATGTTGTTCCCAGAATTGTGATTTACAAACCTTGAATGTATGTAAAATGGTGCACAGGGCTCACCAAAATATGTGTCTTCTTCTGAGATGTAATTCTGTGTAGTCCAGTAGAAATTCACAGCCAATTTGAAGGAACATGCTACCCTCATCTGAAGTGTTGAGGAGCAAGCCAAGCAAGTACCCAGCAAGAAACATCAGTGTAAATCTACCAGACTATATCTTCACATTTCTAATTACCTACATCACAAAATATAGCTGCATTTTAAGAAAACTTCCAAATATAGTCAGCACAAAAGTTAATCTAAAAAGGCCACAACTGGTTAGGAACTGTTCATTATGATGATAGTGCTAGAAAAAATCCTCTTTTATGTAAGTTTATCTTCTTCCATAGATGTAACATTAAGACATTTATGGTGCTAATGGTTTCTCTCACTATAACAAATTTATCACTATAAGCTATAATTATTCTGTGGTGCTCAGACTGCAATTTGTTCCAAATTCATAAATGAGATTTATAGTTACATCAGCAACCATTCCTTTCAGAAGGATAATTGCAGTAAGCCAGGTCAATGTAGTGTCTCAAGGGAGATAAAGAAAGCCAAATTGCGGTTTCGAATTTCTACTTTTCAAGGAAGGATTCATAGAGCTGTAAAAGGTGGGAGCCAATGCTACTGAAACATTTGGAGCAGGATGTCAGGATGTGGAGTGTACTGAACTGGCTTCAAACAGGAACTGGTAACAGACTTATTTGTTGACAGAAATGAACCAATGGGTTCCATAGCAGCAGGGAAATTACTCAACAACTTATGTGCTCAAGGAACATTTTTTCACAATGGAATAAATTTTAGAAATTCAGAGTGAAGTGACAAGCATGGAAGGAATATGTGATGCACTCAGATCTGTTTCTGGGTCACCATCTTGTATCAGTAAGGTGCATCCCAAGGAAGCTTCATATTAAAAATTGTCAGTCAAATAGAAGCTTAGAATTATTCTGTCACACCACTTTACCTGAAGCTTTGAAATAAACTCTCATGTTTCTCATTCTTCCCATGATATGAGCAATCTTCCTGAACCTAGTTATTCTTCAATGTTTATTATCTGTGCATGGCAATATCAGCGACAAGAACCTGTCCTGCCATTTCTAACCACTTGAAACTACCAATTCTCCAGGCATGTGTGACAACATTCTATTCATTACACAAACATTATGCTTGATATTGCTTACTGATTGGGGTATATTTAAAACACATAACCATAGATGTCTCTGTTTGAACTGTTCTAATCTTATGCCCTTCTGATGATATGTCATGGCAATACAATACATATGCTACTCAGAACTTTGATTGTCCAGTAATCAAGACTAGCTCCTTCTAATGGACCAAAATGATCAGGATTGTCCCCATATCTGATAATGGAAATGGATCAAATTTCTGAAACACTGTATTTTAAATATGCCCCAGACAATGGACAATGTTTGACATAATATTTCTATCATCACGTTGAATTTACAGGATATTGTGAACATATAAAATATAAGAATGAATGAATGTATAAAGGGTGGGCCTTCTTGGCCCTTGCACCGCGACCTACAGTGATCTATTGTGCTTTAAAATATAAGAATGTCATTGTGTTAAAAATTGAATGGAATAATATAATAATGACATTTAAAAACAAATTAAGATAAAGGTTATAAAACATTATGAGAAAACAGAGTAATTGTATTGTAACGTGTTTCGTTACAGAAGACGCCGTAGAGATGGTTAATTGGTTTATTTAACAATCTTCAAATAACGGCTACAATTAATTATCACAATATTACGGGTTTCCACACTTTACAAACCCTACAACAAAATCTCTTAACACTATCTTCAAGAGTCTTCACGTATTAATAACGCGGGAGCTATACAAGTCTCCCTGAATTACACACTCCAGATATAACTGGTTATCGCTGGTTATCACACACGCGTCTGTAGCTCGTAACTTGCGAACTGAGAACTCGTTGGTAACGCACTGACTGGCTGACTTTACGACTCGACTCGGAGACTGTCACTTTATAACTGANTCGTGTAGGATATTCCTCTGCTCACTGACTCTAACTAACACTTCTTCATTTCTCACATAATCGGTCCAACTGATCTTCTCCATCCTTCTCCAACACCACATTTTGAAGCTTTCCAGGTGTTTCTGATCTACTGCCCTAAGTGTCCAAGTTTCAGCCCCATACAAAGCCATGCTCCAAATGTAGCATTTCACTAGTTTCTTTCTTAAATTTAAGTCCAATTTGTTGGTAAAAAGATTCTTCTTCTTGCTAAATGCAGCTTTTGCTGTGGGCATCCTAGATTTAATTTCACATGTATAACTTCCATTATCTGTTAACAAGCTATCCAAATATTTAAAACATTTCACATTCTGTATGAATGTATGACTGTATGTACAAAAATAGCAACAAAAGTGATGGATAAGTAGACAGCATAAGAAAATTAAATTAGATTTCAGAGAATCAGACTATGAACTGAATCTGACCCATGACTGTGGTCTTCTGGCATTGTGGTGCTGCTAGATCATTTTCAACAATGGAAAAACATGCTGCCTCCATCTTCAGGGTGGTTACTATTTTACCTTGAAGATGGAGTCAGCATATCCCTCCAAACATCACATCACACAAGACCATAAGCTTCTTAGTCATCAGTGTGAGAATCTTAAATCTCACATGAATTTGACTGAGTACTTTCAATGCAGGTTTCAATGAGATTACTATGAACACCACAATTCATGTTGGGTCCCATAAAGAAGGAATTTCTTGACCAGCTGAGTAGCCATCAGCCGTCCAAGAAGGATCCTGCACCCTACAACATGTGGTTAGATATGCTGTGAGGGTAACATTTTATTATAGCATCATATTGTGTGTAGAATATCTTATTCAGATTCCATCTTACAATAAATGTGTACTTCAACAATAATTACAGTTTCCACAATTATGACATGTTTTGGCCATCATCAGGTAGTATTATTACATATATACATTAGTCTAATTTTAACTAGTTCAAATTATCTACTTTAGCTTACTTATGTAAAACAAATTCTAAGGCAGATTTGCAAATTATGAGGCAAAATTTGCAAAATAAAAAGATGTTTTATTGTGAATAATGAATGCCCTTCAGAAGGCTAGGACAAAGTTTTATATAATTTACAGTATTTGTTTAAGTCTACAACTAAAACCCTATATTTTAAACAACAATATGACCTTCTGTCAATTGTAAATACTGGCCAATGCAAGGGGAATAGCAAAGAGAGTTGAGAGTGATTGTATAATTACCACTTGATGTTGACCAAAATAGTGGCCAAAACACTTTGTAATTGTAGAAACTGTATATTTATCCTACAGTTATATATACAGAGTGTCCCAGGAGGAATGTGCCAAACTTCGGGAGGGTGTTCCTTATGTTAAAGTATGCCGATATAACCCAAAACACCTATGTCCAAAGTTGAACGGTTACGGAGATAATGGCCCGAGAAAAGTGTGGTCTTCTTGCAGGTCCACGCACTGTGGACAGTCAGCTGTGACTGTTATCTGTTTGTCCTTGAGTGCTGTGAGTCACTAGCCGTGATCTCATGCGCTACCTACCAGAGCCTACATATTACGTTGCGGCGGGGTCGTGAATGGGTGGTAAATTAGTTGTGTGATGAGTTGCTGAAATGCCTTTTGTGTTTTCACACGTGGAATATTGTGATATGCATTTTGTGTATGGATTTTGC